TATAAGACGGGGTATGGTCCGTGATATTTTAGACTTATGAAAGTATAGTGTTTAAGATTATTTTATCATTATAAAGTTTAACTAGAAAATAGACACTTGAAAAAAAAAATTAGACTTGAGAAATAGTGAATCTACCAAAATGCAATAAACCGATGGGATACAAATGGGTTTACTTAATCAAATACAAAGCAGATATATCAATCAAGAGGTATAAAGTGAGAGTGGTGGCAAAATTTTATACTTAGACATGTGGGATAGATGACTAGGACACATTCACACTAATAACCAAGATAAACACTATGTGAATCTTATTATCATTAGCTTCCTATTTTCATCGGTAATTATAACAATTTGATGTTAAAAAAAATACTTTTATGTATGGAGATTTAGAAGACAAAATCTATATGGATATCTTGACAAGCTCTGACAAATAAATAGGAGAAAATAAGGTATTTAACCTGAATAAGATAATTTCATAAACTCAAACAGTCACTGAGAGCATGGTTTGGCAAGTTCACAAAAGTGATAATAAATCTGACATTTAAGCAGGCTTGAGGAGATCACACTATGTTATAACAAGAGTTACAACTCTCCTATGATGCATTGATGACATTATCATAACAAGTAATGATGAGATGAAACAACTAACACTAAATCAATGTCTAATAAAAAATTTTAAAATTAAGGAATTATGCACACTAAAGTATTTTTTAAGAATTGAAGTCGTCTTGCTTCAAATTTAAAATTTTTATTTCTCAACAAAAATGTATTTATGACTTGTTAAAGGATAATAGTAGGATAGCATGCAAACCAGTTAGTAAACTTATTAATCATAATCATAAACTAGAAATAGTAGGGGAAGATACACTAGTAAACAAAGAAACATCTTAGACATTAATTAGGATGTTGATCTACTTATCCCACACAAGACTATAAATCGCCTACGTACTAAGTGTTGTAACTCAATTCATACACAATCCGAAAGAAGTACACTTACAAGCAGCCTGCATAGGAGGTTTATACAATTGGTAAGCCTATTGATCCTAATCACAAACTAGGAATAACATAGGAAGATAAACAAGTAAAAAATTAAATATATCAGAGATTAGTTAAAAGATTGATCTACCTATCCCATACAAGACCAGACATCACTTGTATAGTAAATATTATAAGAAAATTCATGCATAATTTGAAAGAATTGCACATGCAAATAACCTACAGAATACTGCAATATGCAAAAGGACTAGGGAAAGGAATTATGTTAAGAAAAAATGACAAATTGCTTCTAAAAGTCTATATTGAGACAAATTATGCAATGTTGGTTGTATACATAAGATCTATTGCATACTACTATACCTTCCTTGAAGCAAGCTAGTTATTGAAGTAAAAAATAAAATATAGTTGTGAGATCAAGCATAGAATCAAAGTTTTGTGAATGGCATAAGAGGTATGTGAACTACTATAGAAAAAAAAATTGAAGATCTTAAATCAAGTAGGAAAGTCATATGCACCCACACTGCAACAACAAGTCAATCATAAACATAACTTATGATCTAGTGTAATACAACCAAACTAAACATGTTAAGATTAATAGACTTTTTGTTGAAGAAAAACCTGATAATAGCCTAATATGTATCCTCCAATTCCTAACTGGCAGACGTGCTAAGTGCAAACAATCTAACATTGCAAAATCTTATTAGCAAACTATGAATGAATAATATTTATTCCTCAGTTTGAGCGGGAGTGTTAAAGCTGAAGTAAATTAGAGTTCTATAAATGAAGCAAATCACATTAAAAGGTATAAAAGTAAATTTTATCTTTTGTAATTAATTAAAATTAATTGTCTATTGTTTTTTTTCATTCTAGAAAACTTATATATATAGATTTGTAATATTTAATAGAACACATATTAATAAAGAAAAAAAATTAATCCTCCACACATTTTATATTAAAAATATTTATATATAACAAATTTTACTAAATATCATATAGTTTTTAAACTTAAAATTATTTTTATTGGAAGTCATTTTCTAAAACACTTCTCCACTTAAAATACCGGATCATAAAGGTACAAAAACATTTCATTACCATGATCACAAGTAAAACACTGCACACATTCACTATTTCATTTAGGATTAGAGGCAGAAAAAATCGAACTACCTATTATGTTTTGAAAAATATAAAATTATTACTTGTATGAGACTAAAATCTTTCAACCAAGTTGTGAGAAGTTGTCAAGTCTAATTTTGATGCAACTTACTATTCGAGAATGTTTGATGATTTCTTGTTGATCTCTACAGCTTCTTCCTTTGCCAATTTTTCTGGAGATAAAAAAGGCCTTGGAGGCATCTCAATGCCTTCAACTTCTCCTTCCAACATCTCCACAACCCAGTTCATGGAGGGTTGATCATTAGGCTTGAACTATATGCACCACAAGGCTACTAAGATCATCTTTTTCACTATTGTATTTTCCTCTTCTGTAACTTCTCCAATTGTTATGCCTTTTCCTTCACTGTAGTGATCATATGCTCACGAAGGAAAATAAATTTGACTCAAGTGATCAACGTGCGGGTTCAAATTTTTCCTTCTACCTGCCATTTCCATTAACAACATTCCAAAACTATACACATCTTCTTTGTAGGATATGCCTCCAATATTCTTGTAATACAGTTCTGGAGCCATATAACCCATCGTTCCTCTTGCTGCTGTGAGAAAAACAGTGTTGTCTTCTATTCGATACAACTTGGCTAGTCCAAAATCAGCTATTTTGGGAGTGAAGTTTTCATCAAGGAGAATATTGTGAGGCTTGATATCGAAGTGCAATATTTGCATGTCACAACCCCGATGCAAATACTCAATCCCGTGAGCTATTTTAAGGGAAATCTCATACATCTACATGCAACTAAGAGTAGTGATGTTTCCTTCTGTTGAAAATATGTACTTCTCTAGCGATCCATTAGGCATGAAGTCATAAACAAGAGCACGATTAGATCTTTGAGCACAAAACCCTATTAGTCGCACCACATTAGTGTGATGAATCGTACCAATTATGGCTACTTCATTGATGAATTCTTGACCATTAGCTTTAGACTTGCCCAATAATTTAACTGCTACTGAGCGACCATTTCTAAGCTTCCCTTTGTAGACAGATCCATAGCCACCCTCTCCTAATTTATGCTTAAAGTGTTTAGTCTTTTTTTTTTTTTTTTTTTGTTTGAGAATGAGTATCTAATAGGCATTAGACCGTTTTGGCTTTGGAGAAAATCTTCAACCATATTATCCATCGACCAATGTCTCCTTCTCCACTTATATGTTAAAAAGCAAGCCACACATGGTATTCCACATAAAATTCTTTCTGCAAGCACCATTACTGCATCCATTGAAATTAGAAGTTCATGAATTATAAAAATTCTTGCTGGGAGATGTAATCTTTTGCTTAATACAGATATTTTACTATAAAATATTAATTTAAACATAATGGATATTTATCAAAATTAAGTGAATAATTACTTAAAAACTGCAGATCTTACAATGTTGTACAACACTGTAAAAACATAAAACCTAATTAATTAAGCTAAATATGGAAAGAACTAAAGAGGAATGCAACATTTCACAGTCTCCTTAGTGTTAAAATCAATTTAAATCTATATATTTCTTTTAAAATTATAATATAATCAACATCTCCTTTCTTTTAACCCTTAAAAAGTCATGTGATGCAGATTCTGGTGGTTATGGCACAAAGAGATATTATGTATTTATAGCATCCCAAGAAAATAAGGCAACTTCTGTTTTTTTTTATATGAATCTATAGGAAGTAAACTCTAGCCGGACAAATGCAATGCAATCATCTCCTTTTCTAATTATAAATGTGAGTGGAATATCAACTCAAAGTATACTAGTTAACCTAACATCACAGTCGAATTCCTAAAGTATAAACATAAAAATAGATAAAAATGAGAGGAAAGGATGTTATTACTGTACCATTGAGGCTAAAAAGTATAGAGAGGAATCCTAATTCAGAATTTGGCTTCCATGAAGGAGATGGTTGCGGATTTGTGGGAAGGAGATGGTGTTTGAATCCTCCAGCTCCAGCGGCAAAGATGTCATGAGAATGAGCTGTCTTCTGCAAGATTTCTGCAACTCCCCCCTACTTCCATTCTTCCAATTATCACATAAGAATAATGGCCTCTTGATCCATTTATACAAGGACCCGTGTCTAGATAGCGAGGAGACCTCACTCGATGCCCGCACTTTACAAAAATAAAACTCTGATGGGGAGGATTTCTTTGGTAGATGAAAATGAATAAAATCAGGATCTGAGAATAATGGGAGGCGTTATATGGGCTGAGAGACGATTGAGGGAGGGAAGAGCAATTATTGGTATGATGAAGAGTGGCATCCACCAAACGGATGGTGAGACTGTTGTAATCGATGGATTGGACGATGTAAGTACCTGATTCCTTGTGTAGAAGTGTTATATTGTTTTCACAGGTTAATGGAATTGTTTCCCTGGTGCAATTTTGTTGATGAGATTTTAATATGAAGGGGAAGGTAATTTTGATGTTGCCGCAGGAGGAAGAAAGGCAGGCAGTGTTGTTTTCCTTGCCATGGCAGATCTGGTTTAATACGATTAGACAGGAAAGAAGAAAGAGAAGTTTTAGTGTAATCATGAGATCGGAGAGTAGAGAGAAGAGGCAAAGCAGATAGGGAATGGAAGAGACGGAAAAAGAAGAAGAAGAAGAAGAAGAAAACACAGAGAGTGTGTAGATAAATTTGATTGAATATTTTGGTTGAATGGTAAGCAGACAAAGACGCCAATAGAAGTCAATAAAGTAAAATTTTCTTCCTCTGTCAAGTCTTCGGCAACGCAAGTCATTTTCAGCTCTTAATTATACAACCCATGAAAAATCAACGAAAGTTCAAGCCCTTGAAAACAAATATTACCATACCACCAAAAAGTATCTACGTATATATCCATAAAAGATCACCATTCTTACTCGTATTACACATCCCTTTAACATGTTCTTCTACTTGTTTTTGTTGTCGCTGCTGCTCCGTACAGAATACGGCCATGGAGTTGATCCCTACCAGTGCCCAGAATCAAGGTGCGGAGCCGACGGTCCGATTTCCATTTAGGCTGGAAAAGAGACAGGCAGAGAAGTGTGGGTATCCTGGATTCCATCTCTCTTGTACTGAAAGCAACCAGACACTGCTCCACCTTCCATTTTCAGTCAAGCTCTTTGTAACAGAAATCGATTACCAGAATCAAAAAATCTACGTGAGCGACCCTCATGGTTGTCTTCCCAAGCAGGTTCAAAAACTCACTCTATCTGCTTCCCCTTTCGAATTTTATGATAATATCCTCTCTGATTTCACCACATTCAGTTGCTTATCAACATTGGGGATTTTAGACAGCGTATTCAGGCCATAGATTGCGTAAGTGTGCCAGGATCTGAAGTTTTAGCTGTTCCTTCTTCTAAGCTTATTATAGATGAAATGCCTCTAATTTATTGTACCAACCTCTCATCTGTGCCATATTCTGTATTTTATGGACCCCCAAACCATAGTTTATTTTGGTCAAAACCATCTTGTAGGCGTTGCGAAGCCAAAGGAAATATTTGCAGATTGAAGATTAGTACCTCAAAACCAGCAATACAATGTCTCAGCATCCACTCTCAATACAAAGGTATTTGATTTCTTCCACATTCTTGTATTCCTATCCAAAATCATATTATAAACAAGTATAGTCTTACCAAGGGAGTCAAGGAATATTAGGAAGGAGCAAGTTATGAAATCTTAATGTGTATGAGGTAGGGCAACATTAGGCATGAACAATATATGAGATATATAAGATGTTAGCTTCTTATCATAACTAAATGGCGTTAAAAACAATTATCTAATATGTATATGAAATAGTATAGGTACTCATCTTTGGTGGGATTACATCCATTAATGAATAATACTTAGCATTTATATGTTTGAACAAAACAGAAAAAAGATAATAATATCTTTTACATCTTGCAGGAGGGTGGAGGAAGAGGGTAGTGGTTGCAGGTGAGTTGAGTATTCATAAATGTGCAGTTTTCTACCTAGGCTATTTTGCAAGGATCTTGACTTGAAAATTTTGAATACGCCACAGGGTCAATATTAGGTTCGCTTTTTCTTGCTGTGATGATCTATGGAGGGTATAGATTTTACTCTTCTGACAAAGCTGAAAAAGAAAACCAAGCTAAAATAAAACAGTTTCCAGAGGATTTTAGAGCTCTTAAGCCTACAAGATATTCCTATGCTGATCTTAAGAGGATCACTAATCAGTTTATGGAAAATCTGGGTGAAGGAGCCTATGGAATTGTGTATAAAGGAAAGCCGTCAAATGAAATCTTTGTGGCTGTAAAAATACTCAACAATTCTACAGGGAGTGGTGAAAAGTTCATAAATGAAGTGAAGATGATGGGTAGAATCCACCATGTTAATGTGGGTCGCTTGGTTGGCTATTGTGCTGATGGCTTCAGACAAGCTCTCGTCTACGAATACTTGACAAACAATTCGCTGAAGAAGTTCATATCTTCTGCAGACACAAATAGCAACTTTCTTGGCTGGCATAAGTTGTAGGATATTGCTATTGGCATAGCCAAAGGCATTGAGTATCTGCACCAAGGTTGTGATCAAAGAGTCCTCCATTTTGATATCAAACCTCATAATATCTTACTAGATGAAAACTTCAATCCTAAAATCTCGGATTTTGGTCAGGCCAAGCTGTGTTCCAAGGATCAAAGTGCAGTGTCAATGACAGCAGCGAGAGGGACAATGGGCTACATTGCTCCCGAAGTTTTCTCGAGGAACTTTGGGAAGGTATCTCACAAATCGGATGTTTATAGTTTTGGAATGTTATTGCTTGAAATGGTGGGAGGTAAGAAGATGTCTGACAACACAACTGAAATCTACTTCCCAGAGTGGATATATAATCTTTTGGAACAAGGAGATGAGTTGAGAATTCATATGGAGGGAGAGGAAGATTCTGAAATTGCTAAAAGGCTTGCAATTGTTGGATTGTGGTTCATACAGTGGTACCAAATTGGTCGTCCTTCAATGAAGGCTGTTGTGCAAATGCTGGATGAAGGATATGATCTAACAATGCCTCCGAATCCTTTCGCCTTTACACGCCTAAAAGGACCTACTACAAGCACGGTTTTAAGGCACGGTCACCGGAAACTTGAAACCATCTCTGAAACTCACCAAGAATTAGACATCATCCAGGAGATGGAGTGACAAACTTGTCTGGAATTCTGTAAAATTCTGTAACAAGATAAATTAGTGTTTATTGCTGCAAAATTCTGAAACAACAGTGATTCACTAGAGACCTTAAACTTCCCTTTGTCGACTTTATAGCATGTCATACGATATTGTAGAAATCACAATCATATTCTCCGTGTATCAGAGAATGGTTTTACTTATTAATTAGATCATTCTGCCTTGTAATTTTCTTTTGAATACTTTGTAGTAATAGTGGCAGCTAATGTTAATTTAAATCCAACAATAATCTTGGAATAGAATCCAAGATTATTGTTGTTGGGGTAAAATTATTAGTGGAAGATGTAAGAATACATTAATAGCACATTTATGATTTGTTAAAACAGGTTAAATTATATTTTTAGAGATAATTAAATTAATCAATTTATGTGATCAAAATTCGTATCTTATAAATTTAAGATGTATGACTGATAATTTAGTGTAGATTTACATAATACTCAACAAATTGCCGCTTACAAGAGGACCAAGAATTATTTAAAGATTAAGTTTTTATCTTTACTCCTATATATATGATTTGTCCTATTAAAGATAGTTCATTCTATGAAGTGATAAGAAGAAAACAACATAATTAATATTTTAATAATTGATAATTAACATGTGTTAATAAGATTTACTATTTATTACAATGTCTTTGTTCATATATGCATCGTATTTATATATATATATATCATTTAATTTATTATAAATTCTAAATTTGCATAACTTAGATTTTTAATTGGTACTAAATATAAAAATCTTTGAAATTCAATTTAAAATATGTTAATGTAATTATTTTATAGGCACGAACAAATTTTTATTAAAGGGGAAAAAAGGATTTTCATGTGGGCAATTCAGAGTTAAATTTATCGTAGTTGTAGAGATTTTGGAAATATGGTTGCAATCAGATATATGTTCTTTTATTAACTAAAAAATTTCAATTTCAATTTCAATTTCAATCTCTAATTTTAAGTTAATTTCATCTTGATTATTAAGAGAGAAGATTAAAATTCTAAACATATTTTTGGTCAATGAAAAATGTTTGATTATATAATCAACAGATGTCTTTTTCTAATCTTGTAGGTGAATCAGTGTATAGAAAATTCGGCCGAACACGTTAGACAAACGCGGCCTCTCTTCAAACTTCGGCCTTAACATCTTTTCAAACTACATAATGACCCAATTTCACTGTTGATATTTTATGATTGCATTAATGATTTATTTACACCTCAAATATACATATTTAATTAAAAACCACATGCATAAGTTGGAAAACCAAAAAACAAACTGAGTATCATGTCTAAGATTCTTCTGTTTATTTATTTATTTACCTTCTAAATAGTCTCCCTCAAATGAAAGAACATCGCAAGTTTGTCTTTGAATTTGTGAAAGCTTGCGATTTGATCATTGAACTTTGAACTTCTTTGCAACAATAAATTCATGAATAAATGAAAATTAACTTTTTTCTTTCATAAAAAAATTATATAACGTTATCACGCCGCTGGATTAGAGTTGTTGGTAACATGATTCCAATTTCTTTTAGTAAAAGACTAAATTCAAACTTCTTCAGTTGCCATATCTGCAATTTACCTTGTATTCAATTTCAGTAGAGGATCCAGTTATCAGTGAATTTGTTTCTTAGCTTACCAAAAAATTAACTTGCAAAATCACTTATGGAACCGACATAAATTAGAGAAGCAGTAAAGGATAACTAAATGAGAGAATAGAGGTCTTTGCCGCGTTTGCCCAGGCACGGAGATATCAAAGCCTCTCTTTCCTCTCACTGGGACTATGTTCATACATCGTCTTCATTGATTTGCGTCACCCAAATACAAGAATTTTTCTGTTCAACCGAAAATCTTAAAGAAAATCACGTTTTAAAAAAAGTAAGTCAAGTTGGAATGGTTAAACGCAAACAAATTTCCAAGGGTTCTTGTGGCAAAAAGAAAATCATCAGCAATCGTACTGGCTGACAGCAACATTACCCAGATAAATAAATTAAAAATAAAAAGGAAAAACGGAACAGATGGAAATGAGGCATGAAATCATACACCAACTATAATACGCAGATGTGACAATATGATTTTACACACAATTTGCCTTCCAATTTTAGAAAAATTTTATACATATATATTTGGATTTCTAACTTTTGCATTTCTCTTAATCCCTCGCAATAATACAACTACCTCACACTTTCTTCTCTATGTAACAATTACTGGCCAAAAATAGAAAGCCGGCAGCAGCAAGTGCAAAAAATATGCAATAACTGCTATCCAACTACAAAAAAATGATCTAATTGAACCTTGAGCTATTCCTCCTTCCCCACCACTTCTTTTTTACCCTCTCCATTGCACCTTCTTCATTTCCAAGTTTATGCAAAATCACCTTTGTTTCTCGCAATCTTGTTCCGTAATCCTTCTTCCAGGCTTCAAACATCTGCTTCAACCTTCGAAGTTCCCTATCTGGGTTCAAACTTGCTTCAACCTGACCTGATTTGACCTCCACCAAGAATTTGGCATCATCCCCAAAGACTTGGCTCCTCTGTTCGAATTCTTCAGCCAACCGACTTATGACACTCAAACCTGTACTCATTGGTCTCACTCCACCATTGCTGTCTTGGCCCTTGAAATTACTTCCTGTCTCCCAGTCTCTTTCATCGCTTGCATTCACTGATGCATCGGAATTTCTCTCAGAATCATCAATTGCTAGGCTCTTTTTTGCAATCGAAAGACTGGACTGCAGAGATCTCATTTGTTTCTGCCAAACTTCTTCCATGGACTTCATTTTCAACTCATATTCAGACCAGCGGCTCTCATATTGTTGAAGCCTTTGGTGAAGAATATCATTCTCCTCTTCTTTCTCTCTTAAAGCAGCCTCAGCCTTAAGAACTCGTCGCTGCAGTTCAGCAAGAAATGATGCCTTGACCACCACCTCATCTGACTCATTCTTCTGCATAAGAGAATTGATAATTGGTAACTAGTACTAGAGCAGTGAGTATACAGTATTGTGTGCAATAAACACCAACAGGATCAGAGAGGAAAGTAAACCAAAAACAATCAACACCAACCCTGGTTTAGCTTTCGTTCGTACATGAAAAGTATTTCAGCTCTCATTCTTAGAATAACATATTTTTATACATAAAAATAAATATAGATATGCTCAAATATATAGTTACTGAAAAATATTAAGAGTAGTTTTTAACTCTTTTCAAACTTATGCTGCATTTTCATTATAATTTTTTAAACTTTTTTCTTTCAAAAAAAAGAGAAAAAAAGAAAGTAGAAATAGTATAAACAGGGCACTAAGAGAGGGTGCCACCCATACTAACAAACATATATGTTATCTCCAAAATACTCAGGATTAGAACCAGGGATCTCCAACAGTGACAAATTTTTAAACATTGTTTTCATTTTCAATTACCACACGTTTCTATATGTTAACATATAGGCATACTATTTTTACATTTTTATTTCCCAAATTGACATATGTTTATCCATAAAGTACGTGCATGTAAGATAAATAAAAATCAATTTTCTGAAAAGACACCAGAACAAATTTTTGTTCTTTTTAATTTATGTTGCTTTGCATTTTTATTATCATTTCCCAAGCATTACTTTCATTTCCAGCTACCGCACATGTTTTTTTCGCAAAAACATAAATGAAGTTCAGAAATAGAAACTAGAAAATGTTTTTTATCAAACAAAGCCAAACTTTTGTTCTGATGCTATTCAATTAATATTCAGTTCTCCTTGTGGGTGAATTATAACCTTAATCTCATCGTATAAACAATGTGGGAATTGTGTTCAACTGTTGACATTGGCTACAGAGGAAATGAGTTAAACCTTTCCCTCCAAAAACATCCAGTGCCAGCTAACTACAGGGTGATATGAAACTGAAGCAAGATGAAAGGGGGACTGATGCCACTCAAGCTTTTCCCATTAAATTATTGACCACAGTCACTGTTGAATAAAATTTCTTTAAAATGCTTTTTCACTCTTCTTCCCCTTGATAAAGTTATATAAAGCTATAAAAGGACAACAGTATGAAACACCAGCAAAGTGAAAATGATGCACATGATAACAAAACAAGAGCCAATAGTAACTTTTTCGGGAAGAGTCAAATGGTGCTGACAGCTGGTATAAGCAGATCAGTTCATAAGTGAAAAAGAAATGTACACTAACATACAAGATAAGACAGTACCTTGCTCCCCTCAGATTTCAGCAACCCAATATCTCCTGAGCATCTTCTGACCAGCCAGCCACGAATAACTGCAACAAGGTCAGAGAGAATAAAAAACAATAAGCACTGCCACCAGTAGCATGCAGGAGAATTAAAACCTCAAAATCGTGTAAGACTTTGGCTTTGAACAGCCAAAAAACTGATTCTCCCTGTCTGAATCCGGTTTTGAATGTCCTGTAACTAAAGTCTCGCTTCAGGCTTCTTTACAGAGATATAAATACATCTCTGATATGTCTTTACTCCAAGTTAAACATGATGATTTAAGAACTTGGGCTGAACAAAGGCTCAACTGAAATTCCAACCACACAAATATAAACAAAATAATTTTGCTTCCAGACCAAGAACTCCAGCTAATATCAAGCTATAGTATGCCTGACTAGATCTTTTTTTTTTTTTTTTGTGCAACCCCAATACTTTGAACACAAAGTTCATAAGCGCCACTTGAACCTCCAACCTCTAACCTCAATTTTATGGAGATTGAGAAGTACTACATGACCAAAAGGCCAAGTGTTTACCTGACTGAATCAAAATTGATGCATGAGAAATGGTAATGAATTTTCTCCTAGCAAGTCTTCCTTTGATCTGGCTTTGTATGACCAGAGCAGCTCTATGTTTCTGTATTAAGATTGCATATTCCTTTCGCGTTCTTTCCCCGCGAATAACTGTAAAACAAGATATATGAGAATCAATGTCCTAAGTTCTTATGACAAAAGCTTGATTATTTCTCACAAGGAAAACAGTGACTCAATCTAAAAGAGGAAGGAGGAAATACATGACTGAAGAGTTACAATCCCAGTTCTGAGCTCCTTGAGATAATTGCGAGCTTGGTGACCTCTAAAGCAGCTTTGGACACGCAAAATTCCATGGAGGGTACGGTTCCTTGTATCTTCGAGAACCCCAATCTGCAACAAGTGTTATTTCTTCAAAATAAAGAAATAGAAATCCCTTTTTGGCCCCACGAAATTAATTGGTGAATCAGTGTTAAAGTCAATTCTTCTCATTAAAAATACTTTGAGCCCTTCGGTTGAGGAACAGTTACAGCAAATTGAAGAACAGCATGGACTCTCCATAAGCTAAATACCAAAAGATACCCATTAAATAAGGAATAACTTGAACCTGTTATAAATTTTCAGTTGCTAACTAGGCATAATATGCACTCTGCATATCTGATTTTCAGCCCATGAGGTACGAAATAGTTTGCTACCCCACCACTTAACCTCTACCATCTTCAAGTAAATGAAAGGTCTCCTTTCTTTAGCAAGTCACTTCATATCATGTTTGATCATTCATTTTGACCAAAGAGGGAAGAAAATAGGAAGTGAACTACCCACCCGGAAGTAAAAAGAAAAGAAAACCAACAGGAATCATAAAACAACAACTTTCTATTTCACCTGTCCTGTGCGGAAAAACAATTTCGTGTAGCCAACTTGATACATCTCAGGTAAAATATTAAACTGGTGAAGAATTGCAACCGAAACACTAAGTGGATCCTTTGATGCAAGATTCTCCAGCAGAAGAAAACCATACCTGAGGCAATAATTCACAACAAAACCCTCAAGATCCACCAAAGTAATTGTAGATTCTGAATGCATAAAATATTTGAATTTGATATACAAAGAAAGAAAGTTCTGGAGGAAGGCTTGCTACAACCTTCGGGCAAACTTCTGATGAGACATTCTGGTCGGGAAGCCAGAACGTGAAATCCGAACTACCTCTAGGACCCCACAACATCTTAACTGCTGCAGTACAAGTCCTTGTTCATACAATCCAGGAGATTGGAGATTGTTGGGCTTTATACAGCGAATGAAATGCGGGGTTGTGTTCTCCAAACGTTGCATCAACTGGAATAGTTGACCCTACCCATCAAGTAATCAAACACAAAAGGAAAAATAAGGTTACCAAAAGAAATCTGGTCCCTAGGTAAAAAGTAATCCTTATAAGAGTAAAATTTCTAAGCTACACAATTTACAGAAAAAAGAAATTTTGTTTGAAACTACTTCCACACAATAATAAAAAAAAGAAAAGGACACTAGATTTATATCATTCTAGATAGAGCCCTTCCAAAAGTTTGATTGTGGTCAAATAAAGATAAGAATCTTAAGAATAAAATACCTATCCATAAAAATTTCATAAAATATTTCTTCCATTTAAAATTTAAACCTCAAAAGAGCTACAATCTCCATAAATTTATCAACTCCCATAAAAGTTTACCAGTTTGGATAATTGAAAGGCAAGAACAAGATTTAGGTGTCCTTAATCTCCTTACATTGGGTTCCCAACTAAAAGGGAAACTATCTGAAAACAATCAGATAATAATTATTACAAAAGTCATTTGCCAAACACAGGATTCACAAATTGTCCGTCAATACAAAACATGGAAGAATGAAAATCATAACCAAATGGAAGAGTACAAATTAAAAATGATTAGGCTCAAATAAAGGAATGCTACCTAGATTGACGAGAGTAATGGGGTGTAAAAGTGTGGAGATGTTGATTAAATACTTGAGTTTACCTTTGGGAACCAAATATAAAGATATGAGGATGTGAGGATGAGAGATCCTGTGATGGCAAGGCCTGAGAGGAGATTGACGGGATGGCAGAGAAACCTCTTATCTAAATAGGGGAGACTCACATTCACTAAAAGTACATTGACCAACCTCCTCATTTATTACATTCCCTTTATGATAATCCTAATGAGTGTTACCAAGAGACTGGAGTCTCAATACCGGAGGATCTTTCTCAGTCAGGTCTTTCTATAATTATTTGAGTAAGAATGACACCACGGAAAGCAGTTTTCCTTTCCAGCAAATTTGAAAGGTTAATGCTCTAGCCAAATTGCTTTCTTTGCATGGGAAACAGGTGGGTATATCCTTATTATTAAAAAGCTGATGAGGAGGAAAAAGATTTTGGCCAGTGGATGTTTTTTGTGCAAAGGGAGGCAAAGCCTTGTAATTACACCCCTCTTTAGTGTCTGCTTGCATATAAGTTATGGATCATGGCTTACAAGTTACTAAGAATCAGCAATGATTGATTCGGTAAGGAAAAGAGTTTGGGCTTGGAGGGGTATTAGTGGAGGGAATTAAAATGTGAGTCTCAATTCCCTCGCTATCTTTTGGGTAGTATGAAAAAAAAAGAACAAGAGAGTTTTTGAGGGGGTGGAAATAGATCCTTTCAGACCTTAGGTGTTTGTTATCCTCTTTATATAATGGAGTATTTTAGGAATCTTATTGATATTTTGGTTAACATATAAATACTTTTTTGTATATGGGTTCGCACCCCCTGGGTGCTTGTGAATTAATGAATTATGCGATACTTTTTATTCCAAAAAAGAGATGAGCTCACATAAAGGATCCCATGTTATCTCTTGCATTATTTAAAACAGTCAACAAAGCTGCTTAGCTAAAATGCTTCCACCAAAAATTGTGTTCAGCTCAAAAGCATTATATCATACGCCCGGAAAGAATTGATATTATTCTTGTCAGTTATTAAATATGAATCAGAACACTGAAAAGATATCATTTTCAATACATTTGTCTAAAATTCCTCCAAGAACTTTGTCAACATTACGAATATTGTGATCACGAATCAAGTTAAATAGTTCATATTTATTAAACTCCAAAAATTGGAAAAGCAATGTACCTTAAATTTTGTTGTTACACTCAGCTTTTGGGAATCTGCTCCGCCTGCTTTATATAATGGACCAACTACAGGCTTCACAGACTGTGTAAGCATACTAGCAGCAAATATTTGAGGAAGGACGCAGGAGCATGAAGACAAAAGCTGAATAGAATCCAAATGCAGCAGATCCCTGTTCTTCTCCAGAAATCCACTTGTGTCATATGTAACCTGAGCAGGGGACCAAGTGAAACTGTCAAACAGCAAGTCAGGCAGCAAGACCAACGATGAACCCCCTTGATTAGCATGTCAATTTTGTTGGTACACGCTGAAAACAATTTTGTTAAAAATGAGAGAGTGTGTGCATGCGTGTGTGTGAAAGATCACCTACCTCCCCTGCATAATGACAGACAGTGAAAGCTTTACTTCGTTCTCCTCTGAAGCAAGAATTAGAATTTAGATGCTGTTTAAGTTTGTTGGCAAACGTTAAATCTGTTCCATTAGGAAATGTGGACTCCTCATCTAACAAAGACAGCAGGCCCAATGGTTTCTGCATAAGCCTCAAAAGTATTAGATTCATGGAAGCCATTTTGCCAATCCTCATAATAAACACTAAAGAGAATTAGTAAGTTTACTTCAGAAGTTAGCAAGAGTAATAGCAGAATTAATGTACATGCTTCAAATACTAACAAAAAGATATACCCACAGAAAAATTTAAGGTAACTTTGACAAAATATTACCGAGTCCAAAATATGCAGAATGCAATCTGAGGCAGATAGATGCAGTGGAGGTGCCAAGTGTGGACAGACACTTGAAATACCTTTTATCCCTCAGGGAGTGGGGAATCTAGTTGCAGAATGTCAGAAAGAGTACATGACCAAAAAATTTGGTTTTACCAACATTCCCGTCTAAAGGAAACATCACAGGGAAGTCAACGCCATTTTCCATTTAACTATTTTCAATCAACTTTTAAGCGCCCCCAACCCCAAGAAAAAAGGGCTAAAAAATCAATGATGATCTGGCCAAATACATAATATCAACTGAACAAGTTCTCTCTCCTTTTAATCAAACAAGGTAAAATTACCTTGATGGACTCATAACTCATAAGGCATTAATAGTAAGTAATAATTTTGTTCAGATTTGCTAATATTGAGTCACGAGATAACTTGTAGCTCAAAAGCTTTTCACAACCATTAACCTATTTCATTCACAACAACCTTTTAGCACTGAAACTAATTGTAGAACCAAGCAAACCAACTTTACATAAAACAAAAAAAAAACAATCTCAAAAGCATGGTACAAATTAGAAGAAGATATGCCCCTCTTCGTATGTCCAGCTTAGAATAATACCTTTAAAAAGAATGTTGAAGATCAAGTTCAAGTTTATTTAATATCCTATTATGATAGTTTCCAAATGATTTTTAAGCACTAATACTAAATTAAATAGTTATTCCTAGAATACAAGAAAAAGAAGTGACTTCTTTTGGACCAAAGTGGACACATCAGAAGCATTTTACCTTTTCAAAGAGATTAAGACAATCTTGGTTGTCTTCGAAGTCAACTTTGTTCCAGTCAATTCCGTCTTGGATATATTCCTGAGAAAATGAGAAGGAGGAAATATAAACATGTGCTTCACTGCTTCAGTATTCCCACAAAATCATAACACAGACATATCCAGTAAAGTTATTTGTCATTAAAAAATGTGGAGATCAAATAAGAAGCAGAA